GTCAATCACGTACTCCCTTTAGCGTAGAAATTACGCATGTGCGCGAGGGCGTTGCATGCGAACCTCCAGTCGATGAGAACAATTTGAATGCGCACGTCATAGCGTGCGAACGTGAAGCTCTATTTTTCGTTTTTTGATTGCGCTTACGAAAAAGGGGGGCAGATTGACTAAGACCGTAGCGTTGCTTTTCGTTCCAGCTCACCATCAAAAACAGCCACGCTTCGAGTTGAAACCCAACTCCACTCAAATCTGAGAGCCATGATCGCTTTTGAATTTAAGCGAGGGCTCATTGGTGTGACTTGCTAGGTGCAGAGTGCCGGCCAGCACTCTTTGGTAGGTGCCAGAGTAAGCGAATATTTTGTTCAAGTTGGGGTCGCGCAGAACTGGCGTTACTAATCATTGTGGCACAACGCCAAGTTGGCATTATGCCACAATGATTAGTGATGCCAGTTCTGCGCGGGACCCCAACTTGAACAAAATATTAGCTTACTCTGGCACCTACCTTTCTTCAGCGACCTCAGACACTCGCACCGGCCGGTGACCATTCGACGGCCGGCTGGTGGGACCACAGGTGATTTCACTCAGCCGCGTAGTCTACGACCACCGGCCGGTATTCGGACGGCCGCCGGCCGGAAAGGTACGGCCGCCGGCCGGTATGTGGGCGCCGCGATACGAAATGGCCATGTGACGCGGTTCTTTTTCCGTATTTATTTCGCTCTGCCGCCTATTCTCAATACAAGCAAATACAAATCCGTATGAATATATTTATTGTAACTGCATCATATAGGGAAACATACATAAATGAGATTATATAATAGCGTAAAGTCTCATACAACATGCAACTAGCGCTACAAATTTGGACGCTTCTTTTTGTACACGGAAGACGAGGTTTTCTTGCATAGTACCATCCATTCGCGACAAGGGCTCGCATATCGTCCTTCAGCTGATTCCGGACTGAAAAAGTTCACTTTTGTACCATGTAAATGCCACATAGCAGACGATCTGCAAATGAGATAAGCTACCCTCGATATCAACCCATATGTCTTCCCTCAACATGACGTGAATTACATGGATTTACATGGATTGGTGAGGCGCCACCTCGCTTCAAGCTTGCGCCACGCGTTGCGTGCGCCTCTTTGGCATGGTGTGGCAAGAAGAACAACATTATTAAGCCTGGTCCATCTTATTTAGTGCACCAGGTCACGCCAAACGATGCGCCCGCAATGTGGCGCAAGCCGAAGCGAGGCGGCGCCTCACCAATCCACATAATCCACGTCATTGAAGGAAGACATATGGGTTAATATCGAGGGTACTTACAAATGTTCCCGTTAACACCAAAACTTACCGACGGTGTTATATATGACTGGGCAGAGCAAATCAAAAAGCTCAAGCAATTGTAGCAGACAAGTAATGAACGTTGTTTTCCCTGAAACACACAAGGACTAGTTCCAAATTTTTGATAAGAACGCACCTGTCCTGTGGAATCTACACTAGGAGTTAGGCGTAAGGTCAGTAGTCTTGCAGCAGAACACAAACTAGATACCCTATATCATCCCATATGTCTTCCCTCAACATGACGTGGATTACGTGGCTTGATGAGGCGCCGCCTCGCCTCGGGCTTGCGCCACGTTGCGTGCGCATCTTCGGCGTGATGTGGCAACAAGAAGAACGTGGAGAAGCCTGCGCCACGTTGTGTTGAGCGCCACGTCGCGCCAAATGATGCGCTCGCAACGTGGCGCGAGCCCGAGGCGAGGCGGCGCCTCATCAAGCCACGTAATCCACGTCATGTTGAGGGAAGACATATGGGATGATATCGAGGGTAGATTCCAATTCCCATAGAAATGTGTGACATGTAGTACACACGTAATCCATGAATGCATAGTGCTGAAATACATAAAGAGTTAGTCGAAAGGTCATGTGCTTCATCATGGGTAAGGATGATAAACAGCGAGTACAAGCAATGGTGCGCTGGTTGCATAGCGCAAGATCTCAATACCATGCATATCGCATTCGTCTCCTGAAAAAGATGGTTATGAAACGTGCCCATTCGTTCTTTTTTGTTTAGTCAAGAAGCTGAGCGAAATTCAAGCCTTGTACCCCTCAGTCAGTATGTTCCAGCTATGCGTGTCACTTCTTTATCGCCATACAAGACAAGCAACAAATCTGAAAAAGGCGCTACATATGTCATTGGGATTTTCTTTTGATTGTGAAAAAGAGGGCGGTATTAGCAAAGATAGAGTAAGATCACTACGGAATTCTAGGTATTTTTGAGTGACAAGCATACAAAACCTTTTTCTAACGATAAATTACGTAAACAAGACATGAATGAAGTAGAAAAATGGCGCTTAATCATAAACGAGGAGAAGTAGAGCGTTTGCTTACGCGGCTCAATCATGCAACTTTCAAATCCCGTTCACTTCCCGCGACATGGCAATGTTACCGGCTGGCGGCCGTTCGAGCGGCCACCAGCCGGTAGATTTCTTTGGAGCGGTCGCCGGCCGGTATTTAGCTCCGCCCAGATTTAAAGAGCGGCCGCTGGCCGGAAGGCCGTCGTCGGACGGTCGCCGGCCGGTGCGAGTGTCTGAGACGGTTATAAACGGTGTTGTGTAATCACGTACAGGGCGCGGAACGGAATTCGTGGGATTGATCTTTTCTTCTTTCGCTTTTGTCTTTAAGTCCCGGCAACTTTTTCATTCGACATTGTGTTCCTGCTTTCTTTTTTTCATTTTGCGCAACATTCATCTTCTTTTTCCATTGCTCAAATGCAGGATCTCTTCCAATATGCTTGTTTTATTGTTATCTCTATTCTTGATCTCCATCATTGAAGCAGGTTAATTTTTGCTTCCAAATTTAGTGCAAGGCCTGCTTACGAAACTTTGTAATCTTTCTCCCACATTCCTTTTTGAGATTTTACCATGTATACATCCGTTCTATTTCATATCGTGTTTTTATTGATGCTGCTGGCGTTATCCTCGAACATGACTGGAGCGCAATCTTGTGGTGTTTTGCGCACTAATTCACGTCTGAATGAACGCTGAAATCTCCTCGTCTTTCGTACAAATGCAACTCGTTTTGCGCTTGATAAAACCTCACATTAACGAGGCTGTAGCGCTTTGCGCTCAAATCACTTGGGTCTGCACCATCTCTCAATATAATTTACTGTGTGCTTGTGTGGCAAAGCATCTGGCGTCACTTGCAGTCAATACTGGCCTTCATTCTATCCAAAAAAACAAAACGAACCTTGAATTGCCTTTGAACAATGCAATTACAAAGAACAATCACCATATTATGCTGATAAGATATGCACTTTTATATGCAAAGCAATAGTATCGAGTTGTCAATTCTATTGCCGTAAAGTGTTTTGCGATTATTGGAATGAATTTTGGCAGACTGTCCTATGGAGTCGATGTTTTTGTATCGTCGAATTCGAATTTAGACACTGATAGACGGAGGGCAAAGTCCATTCCATTAGAATTCACGCTACTCGGCTGAAATGATAAAAACATACCATGTAACATGCGTTAGGCACGCGCCATACTTGATCCGCTTGATCCGCTTGATCCGTTTCATCCACTTCGCTATTATTCAATTAGCAAACTGACCAATGACGAAGTGGATGAAGCGGATCAAAGGGATCAAGTATGGCGCGTGCCTCAAGCGATCAAAATTCGCTACGATAAGTACAGAGAGCAGCTAATCACAGTCAACTAGAATAATAAAGTTTTTGATATTCTAATCATCCAAAAAAGAACTTTCTTGCATTTCTAGCTCTCTAATTAATTTTTGTTTTCAGTATACTTATCGCAGCTAATTTTGATAGCGTAACGTATGTTGCATGGCATGATCTTTTTATCAGTCTATCGACGAAGAGCGTAGTTTTTCTGTTTGTCAGTTTGAACTACGACCCTCTACCTGATGACACACTGTAAAAAGTTTGAATCGAATGTTGATGTTTTGCATGGCATTGATCTGCCATGCCAGACATCAACAAATCCGAATGAATTTGAAAAATGAGTTTTTTGTATTTTTACACGCTTGGTTCTGCTCCTAGTTATGAAATCGCTGTGTCAAAAATATGCAGTTGTCCTCTGAAGATTTACAAATTTTTCATAGTTTTTATTCACGATTATTTATGAGATTCATATATTTATGAGATTTGTGAACCATCACAAATTTACTCGCTCTGCTCGTAAGCTTCACTACAGATGTTCTCGAGTGAGGTGTTTACTCTTATCAGTCCATCGATTATTCGATAAAATCTACGAGAATGGTTTCATTCAAATTGCTCTTTCATTTAATTTCGTTAGATTGTCATGACTATTTATTTTTGCTACTTACCGAGAGCGACAATAATTATCAGAGAATTTCTTGACTTGATAATTTGTTTTAGACATGTTCAAACTGTGTAAAAGTCAAATTTTGAATAGTTTGGTTTCCGCCGCTTTTATGTATTTTTACACCACTTTTTGTTCGTTTTTCTTCGTTCTTGCTTCTGTTCCCGTCGCCTTCCGCCCTATCCCTTCTCTTTTTGTTTGCTTATGCAAACACTGAATGTCTGTCATAAGCACTGGCTCGTCGAGAATTTCCTTGCGCTCTACGTACGCAAACGTATTTTCCTTAGTTCTGTGAACGTATTTTCCTTAGTTCTCTGCATGCGGAACCTTTGCATGTTCTTCTTTTTTCATCAAAAAGATATCAATTTGTATCACTTTTTGCAAACTCTTATCGTTGGAACTTCGAAATGAGATTTGTTTCAATCAAGTTCTTCGAATTTATCATTTGATCTCTTCCTTTCGAAAAAATTTGGAATTTTAAAATCTTCGTGAACAATCTTATTGTCAGGAATGTAGCGTTCTTGCGGCAATGATTTCATACGGTGACAAACGTGATGACCTTTTTTGTTGTAGCATGACTCAGCTTGAAATTTCATTTTATATGACAGCCGACGGCCGCATTCATTCGTTTTTTTTTCACTTCCCGTCAGTTGTCTCATAAGGCGCATGGTACGGTTTTGACATCATTCACTTGCTTAGGGTTAACCTGCTCAGGACATGAGCTCAGCGAGCTCGTCTAGTAGCGAAGGATCGTTGGAAGTGGTAAATGCAGCCGATTGCTCTTCAACTTGGTCCAACTCAAATTCAGTCGCTCATTCAGATGCTAAAAAGTAAGGTTTTTGCTTTTCGTATTGGTGCTGTAATGCAACCGACATGTAATCATTCACACGCATTCCAATGACGTCACTATTCTTTTTCTTAGTTTGGCCTTCGGTTGCGTTATGGCTAGGAATTTCACTACTTCTTACTGGTTTTCAACTGTTTTCTGTGTGCACTTTTGCACTGGTCTACCTGGTTTCTACAGTTAACGTCTAATTTGTTCCAATTATTTTCCAAAATCGTTTTTTGCTAGTTTTCAGTTTGATAAACTTAAGCCCTTCAACTGAGTCACCCTTTTTTCACAATGCTGTTTACTTTTGATAAGCATTTTATTGACAGATTGGGTATGATATAGGTATGCCATTTGAATCAATGCGCGCAAGTTTTGATTTCATTGGTCGTCATACTTATACTGAGTCAGCAGGTTCAAAGTCCAAAGGGGCGCAGTTTAAGGATTTATCTTTGCGTCCAGTGACTCACACAGTTTGATCGCTCGTTTTTTTTGCATCATTACTTTTTCTAGTTATTTTGTAGTTCTAATTATGTAAATTTGACCAAAAACAGCGGCATGTGGCAATCACATAATTTCTCATGCCTACACCATCAGTGGAGCAGATCTTATAATTAGTTTGAATGCTTGGAAAAATGTTTTCCTCTTGCCGTGAATCAGTCTTTCAGTTCATTGAATTTATTTGCATCCCATCGTTTTTTCTAATCAATTTTCGAGGGGAAAAAATTGGGGAAAGCGTCAAATTGCCCGTGGTGTTTATCAACCTGCTTTTCATTATTTGCTGTGTCATTTTTGATTTCAATTTTAGAACTAAATGGCATCGAAGCCCGTATACACCAGATGGAACAATAGGAGATCCTTCATGGCACGTGGCCTTGATGGTCAAAGTATCCTGCGCCCTGATGTTCATTTTTGGAATTATTTCTGATTGGCTTCGTGTAAGAGGATATCTGAAGGTGAAAATCGCGAATGATGATCCTCGGCATAAGGTTGGTTTGCTCGCAACCCGAAAAATTCGTTCGTTTGTGTCTAACTTTTCTGATTTTCAGGGTTTTGCCCCTCTTGATAGTCATTTTGAAGGGATATACATAAATCATATCTACCGAAAGTCGAGTGATGTTGTCAACCGTCCGATTACCAGCGTACCCGCAAGTGTGATGCGATTGAAAGATCGCTATACTGACGACTATGGTTGGACACAGAAGTACGTTGCAGGATTTTTTTTCAAGCGAAACACTGGTTGAGATCATACAAGGTTGCTTGTTTGTTACTACCTCCCTAAATTTTTTTTTGCACACTACGGTAAAATATACTGCACTTCGCTTGTAGATTTCTATCATCTAAAAACTGTCTAGACATTTAGAAGCTTTTGTAGTTCCCGAACTGGTACTGCGCACATTTATGTTCGTTATTGATCTTTTTTGATTATTGAATCTTGAGTTTTTCTCGTGAATGGTATTTTCAATAGTTGTATCCTTTTTTGTTGTCAGTACTGTTGCATTTTAGGTATACTGGAACAGAAACTGACGTGATCAACATGGGATCCTACAACTACCTCGGTTTTTCACACAACGACGGCCCATGCGCCGAGGAAGCCATGCGATTTATTGATAAATACGGGGTGCATATCGGTGGTACCAGGCACGAACGAGGTAATTTTTTTTATTTTTGACCGTATATGAAGTTGTAGTTCCCGAACTGGTACTGTTTCGACAGTGTCATACTTGCTGATTTGTTCACAACAGACGAATGGTATCCTAGCGAGTTTCAGGCAACCACATCGTTCACGCTCAAATAGAAAAATGTGTTGCTCGTTACCTTGGAGTGGATGCGGCAATAGTTTTCCCTATGGGTTTCAGTACTAATTCAATGAACATTCCGTCTCTTGTTGATAAGGTACATTTGAAGTTTTGTCATAAGCGCACATCGATTGATTGTGAGCATTCTCTAGGGATCGTTGATTCTCAGTGATAAGCTCAATCATGCCTCTCTAGTATTGGGATGTCGAGTGTCCGGGGCCACTATCAAGACGTTCAGGCACAACGGTGAGTTCGTTTTTTGTCTTTAGTTGTTACGGAAACAATTTTTGTTCTTTTTTTTGTCAATTTTATTGCTGTAAATGATTTCTGTCCTTTTCTAATATTTTACAAGTTTTGTCCATAGCCTAGTATGGAATATTCCTATTTTTTGAGATGCGAAAGACTGTGAAAAGAAGTTGAGGAATGCCCTATGCGAGGTAAGCCCCAAAACTGGGAAACCATACAACAAAGTTCTCATCGTTATCGAAGGCATTTACAGGTAATTCGTCTTGTAGGTAAATGATAGCAATACATATTTTCATTATAGCATGGAAGGTACCATAGTGGATCTGCCAGAGTTCATACGGGTGAAAAAGAAGTACGGGGCTTACATTTTCTTGGACGAAGCGCACAGCGTTGGTAAGTACCCATAATACACCAATAGACATGAATTAACGCCCTTCAGGTGCTCTTGGACCAACGGGCAAAGGAGTAGTTGAGTATTGGGGTTGCAATCCCAAAGATGTGGATGTGTTGATGGGCACACTGACAAAGAGTTTTGCTGCATCAGGAGGTTACATAGGTGGAACAAGGGTAAGCAGTATGAATAAGTAAATTTTAGCTTTGATAGCTGCTATCAGTACATTCTCAATGTAATGAATTACTGTACAGGCCTTGATAGACCATATACGATATGGTTCCGCTGGACCTTGCTATGGATCTGCAATGTCACCTCCGATAGCTGCGCAGGTGATGAGCAGCATGAAGGTATGTTCGCTTCTCTGCTTGTTCGATAACGTTCACCTGACATTGCTTTCTTTGCAGATCATGCTTGGCGAGGATGGTACTGACATTGGCGCTCGGAAAGCTGTCCAACTGTTACGTAATTCGCGATATTTCCGAAGGCGATTGAAACAGATGGGCTTCCTTATATATGGCCACGAAGATAGTCCTGTTGTTCCTTTGATGACATTCCATATCACGAAAGTAGTGTAAGTTGGCAGATCAGATTTAGATATTCAGACTCATTTTATGATTTAGCGAGTTTTCACGAAGTACGTTAGCATGCGATATTGGACTTGTCGCAGTTGGATTTCCAGCCACACCTGTGACTAAAGCCCGAGTTCGATTTTGTTTGAGCGCAGACCATACCAAAGAGCAACTAGATTATGTGAGTTTTTGCACAAGAATAATTGAGGAGGGAATCTGTGGCATACCAGTCTTTGTAAGTTTCTGCTCTTGAGAGCTGAAGACATCTCTATAGAAGGCGCAGTTAAATCTAATCTTCTTTACTGTCCGAAAGGTATCTACATTTCTATGCACTAGTTGTTTGCACATGTTGCACATTTGAATTCAGATTGTTAGATAGATTAAAGGCACCGTCCATCCAAAATCTCGAATTCAATGTTTTTTCGCCTTCAGGTCTTCTGAGAGCCCTGATTCCGAATATAAAATGGAAAATCCGCGAAACCTTCAAAAATCCCTGTTTCGCGAACCCTCTGCAACAAGCGCAGGCGAGATAGAGCATGCAAGTGGGCGGGGCGACTGTGGTCGCCCCTCCTACTTTGCTAATTCCGGAGCGGATTTCTCGCTCCAGAAGCAGCCTTTTGCGGCGAAGCTTGGGGGTTTGCCTAGTGTGGGGGCCCACACAAGTATGCCATTATAATCTCGCCAACCTCCAATTGGGTGGACGTGCTTTTAAGAGGCTTGTGCTTTCCATTACCACTCTTCATTCCGGAATGATCTGATAAGCAAGGGTCATGAAGTCGAAATGGCCGATCACCATAAAACTGGGAGACAGTCTTTTTGCACGGGCGGTCTTAAAGGCAGCGTACACCCAAAATTTCACCTTCGATGTTTTTGTTATTCTGGGGCCTTTCCGTGCCGCTGATTACAGTTATGACATTGAAATCCTCCAAAAGTCCCAAAAAACCGCGATTTTCGAGGACCCTTTCTTCAAAGGAGGACGTGTTTCCAACTGCTCGGCCCCGTCGGAATGCAACCGAAAAGCAGCTGCAACAGCATGATGCCTGTAGTTACAACTGCAAACGCTGCGTATGCTGTCCTGGATTCGTCGTCCGAAGGAGGCAGAACGCAAGAAACAACTGCATTGTTGCATCTGCTGTTGCGTTTGCAATAGCAGGTGCAATTGCAACTGCAACTGCAGCTCAAAGGCAGCGTACACCCAAAGTTCCACCTTCGATGTTTTTGTCATTCTGGGGCCTTTCCGTGCCGCTGATTACAGTTTTGACATTGAAATCCTCCAAAAGTCTCAAAAAACCCCGATTTCCGAGGACCCTCTCTTCAAAGGGAGGACGAGTTTCCAACTGCTCGGCCCCTGTCGGAATGCAATCGAAAAGCAGCTGCAACAGCATGATGCCTGTAGTTGCAACTGCAAATGCTGAGTATGCCGTTGTGGATTCGTCGTCCGAAGGAGGCAGAACGCAAGAAGCAACTGCATTGTTGCATCTGCTGTTGCGTTTGCAACAGCAGATGCAACAATGCAGTTGCAGCTTACGCTGTCGTGGATTCGGCCGGAGGAGGCGGAGTGAAAGAAAATTGAGGGAGTTTTCGCCGCTCAGAAGCAACATCGGGAGACCGGACCAACGCAGTTGATCTTCTTCTGGGCCCAGTATATACACGGTATAGAAAAATCTGAAATATTAGGCAACTTAGATTTTGGGTGTACGTTACCTTTAAGCTGTCATGGATTCGTCCGGAGGAGGCGGAGTGAAAGAAGGGGGGGGGGGGGGGAGTGAAAGAAAATTGAGGGGGGTTTTCTCCGCTCAGAAGCAACATTGGGAGACCGGACCAACGCAGTTGGTCTTCTTCTGCCCAGTACATGCACGGTTTAGAATCTAGGAAATTCGGTAACTTAGATTTTGGGTGTACGCTGCCTTTAAGCGCCACCCTGATTTCCACTTGTCTTAACATGTCACGCACGCCGCAAATCTTTTCTCCCGTTGTTTTGCTTAGGGAAGCCGCCGCAGGGTATGTCGCGCGCGGCGGTGGCCCTGTGGAAAGCATCACAGTCGTACGAATCGCCCTACACCCCCATAAACTGCAAACCATTAGTAAGAACTTGGAACGCTGATTCCAATTCCTTTTTCATATATGCAGAGAGCGTCTGTGAAAGAAATTATGAACATTTTCTTGAGACTAAAAGGCGAATGAATAAGAATAATGGTCAAGGTGAAACCCGGCAAGTTTCTATACGTCAGATGCAACAATAAAAGATAGTGATATATCAGATAGTTCGTTGTATGAATTTCTGAACTAGTGAACAAGTAATCTAAAGCTGCTAGGCGCGCGCTTCGGGACCGCACCGCGGTTTCCCGCTATTTGACGATTTTTGAACTGAGCTTACGATGCTTTATAAAAGATAGATTCTTACAGAGAGTCCGATTTTTTTTTTGATCCAAATAAGTCCGCCCTTCGGAAAGTCCGCCATACAGATAAATCCCTTCCTCGTTAAAACTACCCTAATCTTGTCAGATAAGTCCGAAGACTGCCAGATAAGCCAGGGCTTATCTGGAGACGGACTTATCTAATGGGAGGTCCTATCTGTGATCTTAGGATATCCTATAACTTGCTATTGCTTCATTCAATGTCTAGAGAGACTACCGATTGACTCTACCCCTGCCATTAGTTCATTTGTCTACTCCAAAAATGCTCGTAAGTTTTTCCCTGAAGCGCTCTGCTACAGAGGGGAAGCAGATTTAGAGTCGGCGCTCCAGGCTTTCATCAAGGGGGTATGCACTTTGTGTAATCAGCCACTTCGAGTATCGGTTGTATCATGCCAGCTTGAGATGAGTACAGGAAGGTAGTGTGTTGCGCTCCTCCTGCTATATCGGCGATTTGTAAGGCCCGGGCATAGCTCACGCGATTTCGGTCGCGACGCGACTTGGTAGTATTCCAGTTGTTTATAGTTCAACGCAAAGTCAATCTGAGCACACGGAAAACAGCACATTTCATCGACTTACTAAAGGTTAAATACACCAAGCATTTGTGGTCTGCGAGGGTTGGGTTTTTGAAGAGATCTGGCAAATGGCCAAATCGCGTGGCAACTGTATTCGCGAGAGGCATGCCCGGGCGTAACACGCAAAAACTAGGCGCCGTTGCGTCCGACCAAGATAGCTCGTGCGTGAGAGAGCAGCAGGTAGTAAGAGAAACGAAAAAGCGCTTGGTCAGAGAAACTCCGATACTCCGCAGTCTTTCATGCGATGATTCGCCTGTATATGAATAAACTCAATATGAAGCTAGTGCTAATTGGTCGAAGCGCGATCCTGATAGTTTTCATCATTGACTCGCCTTAAGCTTAGGGCATACTTCGCGCGATTCCATCAAATCGTCCCATCTACGCGACTTTCGCCGTGACCATTTTTGTGCTTTCCCCATGGAAGATCTTTGTGCGCTGGTGTTCTTTTGTCAAAGTCTTGTTGCAGGTCTTAGACGTCGTCGACCGAGTTGGTGATCGAACAAACATCAAGTATGGAGAAAAAGTTGACAAAGGAAAAGTCATCGAGTATTAGGCATCTATAAGAGCAGGAAATATAGTGAAGAACATAATGCTCATGGCTCAACAAGTGTTGGCCCCGGACAGACTCACGCGATTTGATCGTCGCGACTCAGTCGCCGACATTTCCATTCATTTTCATTTCATGTTCAAAAATTTCGGGCTGGAAAAGTATTACAACCGAAATGCAGGTTGATCGGCATGGAATGAGGTTGTAACAGTTGTCTCGTCGCGATTCAGTCGCGACGATCAAATCGCGTGAAGTCTGTCCGGGGCCTTAGAGACATTTTTATGTGTGTATATCACGATATAGCATTTTCTTCTTGTTAGTAATCCATTGCTTGTTAAGTTATACAGCTTTTGAGCTCAATCGTTTGTTATTCGTGTCCCTGCACTTCCGAGTCGGCTTTCTAGACACTCAGTCTACATTGACTACTATGCGCAGATTCTTCGTTGTTTTGTTGCCAATTCGTTGCGAGGTACGGCACTTGCCAGATATGTTGTTACTCAGATTCAGCGAAAGCCAAATAAATAATAGGAAGTCCAGTTTGCTTAGGTGTTGATAATTTTGCTGTTGAATCTATCCGCTAGCCTCAAGGCAATCAAATAAATAATGTTGCAAAGGTTTGTCACTTGAAAGAATTTGAGCTCTGCTATGTCACGCTGCAGTCGTTGCCTATAGATTGTGCCCCCTGATTCAATAGGATTGACAGCTGGAAGGCGGGGCTTTGTGACCTAATTAAGGCTAGAGAACGATTAGAGCAAGTTTGCGAGGAAACGCAGACTGCGCCGCGGGCGCGAGTGGTCGCCTTCCAGCCGTCAGTCTCGTTGAATCAAAGGGTGCTTGGAATCAATTCGGCGCGCGAAACTGCACGACACCATCCGGGCAAGTCGCAGACCTGTGGATTTCTGTCTTTATTAAGCGCCCTGAACAAGAATTGGTCTTCACATTGCCTGGAATGGTCAGCAGGAAGTTTTTGCAATTTTTATGAAGATGCCCAGATAAGAGTGATCGGAATAAGAAAGAATGTATTGAATTATATATTTTGAAGTGTGCACAGATGCTTGCTGGTCCTCACAATTGATATGCATTCGTGCTTCGTCAGTGGGTGACAGAAGGCCCCTTTGGAGCGATTTTTTCGCTAATATCAAATCAAGACATCGGCTAGGTTGCATATAAGCCTCCGAATCTATTCGAGGCTGCTCCCGCTCATATCCTTGGGAATCAGAGGGTTACAACTGAGATGGCTTGAATCATATCTTCATGATAGAACCTTCTCTGTTCGTGTACTTGATAAAATTTCGACGACTAGATCGTGCAGATCTGGGGTTCCCCAAGGCAGTATTCTGTCGCCGCTTCTCTTTATTTTATATACCACAAGACCAAAGCGCCGCGTAGCGGCGCTTTGGTCTTGTAAGTGGATAAAGTGTACAATTCATAAGCTATCATCCTGGCGCTTTCAGCTATGTATTCCAAATTTCAGCTTATCCAGCATTATTCAGACAATGTACGACGACATATGTACGGTTCATGCTAATTTGATATAGAATAACCTGACGGGCAAAGTTTTTGAGAAATGAGGTTTTTTCTTAGAGGTTACACCCGTGAATCGATTCACTATTACTAAAGCAGCAACTTTGGAGTCAAAATCTGTAGTTTGATCTACTTTGTAAACTATAAGACCACTCTCTTTTGCAAAATTTGTACAATCGCTCATGTAAAAATATCTTGGAGTTTACAACACAATCAAAGCAAAATTCATGAATAACCGGCTATCGCTAGACTATGCAAATTCAGTGCCTAGTAACGGAATGGAGTACATGATACGTAACTCGTAACATTTGAAGATAAGAGTGAGATCGATGAGTATATGCATATGCAAGGTTAATAGTTATTAACTAACTATAGTGTATTCAGCACATGAGTAGTATGATATATAGGTAATGACGTAAGATAGATGAATGTATGGTGATATGCGAGTAACGCTAATTGTTAACAAATTTTGGTTGTGACACGTAAGAAAACAAAACAAAGCTATCAAGATCGTCAAGATTGTTGAGGATTTCAATATGTGGATAATTGGTGGTAGTCTGCTAGATACTTAATTCATGGCTACAACTTGAGAACTGCCTTGATGACCACATTTTTCACCCGTTCCTGTGCCTTCTGCACTTTGAGACCTTGTTTTCTTCGAGCTCGCGATAAAGCCACATAAAGTTGTCCATGCGAGAACACCTCCGTATCGAGAAAAATACCCACGTTCGTCAAACTCTGCCCTTGCGCTTTATTTATTGTCATTGCAAACGACAAACGGACGGGGAACTGTCTCCTTCGCAATCGAAATGGAACCCCTTTGTCAGTATAATTATCTATGCGTGGGATTGGCACGAAATCTCCCTTTCGATCACCTGATGCAAACCTGCAACCTAGAACGAAATGGCCGCAATGCGCGACTCTCAATCTAGTACCATTGCAAAGACCATTCCGAACGTCTAAATTCCGCAAAAGCATAATTATCGACCCTTCTTTCAATCTAAGCTTGCGTGGAGGTAGTCCAGCTGGAGCTAGGCTATTCAAAAATTCAGTGCTATATTGGTTTGTTTCCGCCTCATCACTCATCACATCATCAGCACTTATGTATTCGCGCAGTTGGCCTGGAAGTTTGTCTAACGCTTCCTCATTAATTCTATATGCCTCAAGGTTTCTCGGCGACAGTATCGCACGTTCGCTTAATGTTTCGAAGTCTGTAAGGAGGTCTCCAAACACCTCGTCAATAAGATTGCCACTAGAGACGATTTCACGCGGAAGTTCTATTCTACCCATTTCGTCTTCGTCTGCCTCTCCATTTCCAACGGTCATCAAGAAATCACACCAATCATATCCAGATTCAACCGCTCGCATGTTAATTGAAAGACGGTGTTTGCGAAATGACTTCCAAAGATCACTATTTTTCACGCAAGCGTCGATCATATCCGACTCCTGTCCTCGTACGATAGGCAATACCTGTCGAAAATCTCCCCCTAATACAATAGTCTTTCCTCCGAAGAGCTCGCTGTTGCACATTAGATCTTGGAATAGAACATTAACTGCTTCAAGCCAAAACTTCGGGACCATGCTAATTTCGTCCCAGATAATGATGTCTGCTTTCTTGAGTGGAATGGCCTCTTTGGAGTCTCGACGCATAGTGGAGTTACGATTGCCCTCATGCATATTTAACACGTTGACGACGAGCCATTTTTTGAAGGTCTGTCCCTGTGGACGAACCGTTTCCCGGCACTTTCACAGCTGGCTTCATGTATATATGCATGCATCTATGCGTGAGATACAAAAATGCAGGTGGGCGGGGCGGCCCCGCCCACTTTTGGCAAGCCCCGCCCACTTTTCAAAAATGCTGGAAATTGCCCAAAATCAATGAATTCGTGCAAATTCCGGCATTTTTGAAAAGTGGGCGGGGCTTGCCACTCAGGGGGCGGAGCTTGCCACTTAGGGGGCGGACCTTGCCTGAAGGTGTGCGGGGCCTGGCTGATAGTTGTTTGAGGTCTTTGCGTTCATTTACGGCCTCATCCATGCTTTTTATGAACAAAAATGGCTCTTGTGGGAGGCATAGGAGTGGGCGGAGTTTGCCAAAAGGGGCGGAGCTAATACATGAAGTACATCTGAGCCTATGTTGATTATATGAACAAAAACTGAGAGGATTGGACAGATAGTATTGAAATTAAGGCCGCCGCGCACCATTGCGCGGCCGTCCACAGGGACAGACTGCCTGCCGCGCACCATTGCGCGGCACTGTCGTCAACGTGTTAATTTGAACCTGGAGCTGGCCGTTCTTCCCTCAGGTAATAAACTAGCTGCGATTCCCGTCCAAGCTACGCAGATAATGGATTTGTGCTGCCCTTTTAACATGTGGTATATGGCATTATACAGATAGGTCTTTCCACTACCTCCAGGACCATCGACGAAATGCAATTTGGGTCGTCCAAGACCGAATGACGCTAAAATACTGTCTGCAGTCAACCTTTGTTGCATGTTAAGACACTCATACATTTGCAACCCCTTCTGCTCATGATATACATAGTCAGTCAAGTCAGCCAAGACCGGTCGAGTCTGTGAAGGCGGTTTTATACTGACAGCTAAGTCATAGCACAGAACCTCTAGTCGGTCGTATAAGTCAAAGTATGCTGACGCTTCGGCGTCAGCTTCACTGCAGCCTCTGTGGATAAAGTCCTCTGCCATTTCAACTTTGAAGCGTTCATAGAGCTGACGTGGATCGGAAATTGTACAAAACGGCAGCAAATAGGAGAATGTTGCCCGAAGTTCGGCAGGCATTTGGAAGTGAGCAACTTCCTCTAGGCAACTGACATAATGTGCGTCATCGTGCAAAAGACCTAAAGCGCGTACCGCATCCAAAAATGTCGGATGTACTTGTCCTTCAACTGTGCGGAGGTCTTCAAATGAGCGCATGTTCTTTCGATGAAGAAGCAGTATGCGCAAGCTAAATCTTTCAGGATCATTTGGAGGAGCAACAAACATGCGACCAATCTGACGGTTCCCCCTTTCGCTTCTTTTCCATTTCCGTGTTTCTTTCATAAAAGTAAAGTGCTCAGGTAATTGGTAGTAGTAGAGCGTACGAGGGTCAACACCTTTTGACACGTCAACATTTTCTCTTTCCATACGATCATATTCAACATTCAACTTAAACCAAGCTGTGAGCATGGAATCTCGAGAGGACTCGCGCACCGCAGCTTCACGCTCACTACCTGACTTGAAAGTCACCGACTGAAAATCTGGGAGGTGCACAGTCAGCCGATAAACGGTGTCAGATTTGAACTGGCATTTGTTCTCGAAGATTTGATGCACAGCCTCGGGAGAGCACACGTATCGAGCGTCTAAGTGAGCACGGATTTCGTCAAGTCTCTGATTTGTATCCTGTTGCACTAATCTTAAGGAAGCTCTATCTGGTCCCTTGTACACATATTTGAATAGGTATTTAACCGCCTGCACATAACCGCAGATCTCCAGGTTAATGTGAGCATTCAGAAGAAGCAAGAGATAGGGGTTATATGGCACGACGTCCCTATTATCATACGTCTCTACTCTCACTTTTACCGTACAACCGTCGCGAGGCCTTTTGTATTTGGGATATCCGTCGACATCAATGACAGTCGATTCCCTATAGTCTTTAGGAAAACGTTTCAAATATTTTCCATTCAGCATGCAAGGGGCGGTCAGATTGGTCATTCCGCACCGACGATGTATCATGTTTCTCGATACTATGTTGGTCAGACGGGGATTTTCGGCAGCGCTTGGAAGATATGCATGAACCGCCGAGTCCACATCCTCAGAAGTTCTAGGCTTAGCATCTGCAGCCATTATTAAGAGCATGTGACAGTGCGGAAGCCCTCGCTTCTGCCATTCTACTACGCAACGTGGGCAGCAATAGAGCCTAATACTTTTTTCTCGAAAAGATACTCTTGTAGAACTTCTAGCTTTCGATTAAATACGCGCGCTACCAAGTCGGGCCGATCTGAAGAGGATTGTCCATTGTAGAGGTTCTCGCTTATCTCTTTCCAATGAGGATTGCAAGTAAAAGTTAAAAAATAATCCGGCTTCCCATACTTGGCAACTATGGACATTGCATCATGATATGACTGATGCATGGCTCGCGGACTAGCGCGAAACGATGAAGGCAAGATTATACGTTGCCCAGGAGGCCCAACTGCGCTGTCACTGGCCAAATGGTCCATGAGCCCTCGATAACTATCTACCCGCAGCTCCTTTTGATGCGTGCGCGTATAGTTTAGTCGATTTTGTTCAATTTTGACGTACGCGTCAACTACAAATTGCTGCAAAAGTTTGCCGGCGTAATGGAGCGGATTGAACGATCTGCGCACGGCCAGGAGATTAGAGTAAAACTCTCGCTGAGTGATTCTAGTGCGACTGCGGCTACTGGCTCTCTTTTTCAAATGGATATGCCAACCGAGTCCGCCTCTGGGAAAAAGTAGAGGATAAGTTAGCGGATCGCAACGGCCATCGATGTCTGGAATCACTTGCAGACCGATCCTTCGATGATGAACAGCGAGAGAACGTGTCGCTGGAACGTCGTTGTCTTCCCCCACATAGACAACAGCTATCTCGTTAGTGGCGGGAACATTGTAACGGCGGCGATCAAGAGTCTGAGCATCATCAAAGACCATACGGATTGTTGGGAGCTGTCTGCTTTCCCGTTGTGCTCGTCTCTCCTCTTCTGCAACAACGTCACCCATCATCTTTAGCGAAGCTGCGTAGATATTGTGAGAATGCAGCCATGACGATAACTGCTACATGACACTGGCATCACAGTGCTCGTTTGCAGGGTTCCCACTTCTCTCAGCTGCTGCCGCCTCTGCGTCCAATATATAGAGCTGCCCGTACTGCCGAGGCATCCCTTCTTCTAGTGTAATAGGACCGACCGACGAAGTGATACAGCTGACCATGAATTCTAAAGCAATACGGGCCGTAGCCACGGGGTGTATCCACTTGAGCCCCCATCGAAGCCATGGCGAGAGCGCTGTTATATGGGCGAATATGATCGCGGAAGTTCTTGCAAAGGTTGGTGGTTCCCGTGTAAAAAGTGCGAAAAAGCTCGGGAAAATCCTTGAAAATGTCTAAAGATATGTTGCCGAAGTTGCAACAAAGGTTAAAACTTCCATTCACAGGTGCAGCTTCGTTTGGAAAATACAGAGCCCCACAGTAGTTACAACTGACACTTAATAAACCTAAGTAGTTTTCCTCCACATAACTGGTTGTTAGGGCTATGCCGAGATTGGGAAGAGTTCTGGTGCGTTTACGCGGTCCAAAGCACTGAGATGAGCTGGTCTGAAAATTGTGGCCATGCGGAGGAGAAACAAATCGTAATGCAAGCGAACCGTAGCTTCACGCGGATTCCGGTCACTCTCATATAGCATTAAAGTGTTCCTTCCATCTTCGTTGCAATGTTGCGAGGAAGCCTTAAAATCTTTGATGAAATGTTGCCAAACCCGAATCAGCTGATCGCACACCTCATTAAATTCTTTTGAACTTGTACTGGGTAGATCATGAGAGCAGGAAGGGACCAAATAGTTCTCCTGATAAAAAGTGACATTTAAACAGAAAACCATCAAAATTCAAGCTCACCACTTCTTCACTTTCATCCTGATGAGCTGTGGTTGCAGATGACATTGGTGTGCGCTTCACACTGTCCTGAAGTCTCGATCGCTTCTGGACTTCGCCTAACTCATCCTGCGTTCCCACCGATTTTTTTCTTTCTTTTGCTTTGGCTCTCAGCGTCCTTGCTCTCTCAGCCTTCACTTCAAGGCGTTCTCTTCTGTTCTGTTCGCTTTCACTCATTCTTTTCAATCTATCCCTTTCTGCCATTGCTGCAAGACGTTGCTTGCGCTCATCTTGCGTCTCGTTAGATCTTTTGAGAGCAACTCGTTGTGCTTCTGCAGCAAGTCTTGCATCGCGTTCGTCTTCGGTTTCAGATTTTCTTGAAGTAACACGGTAGCCTTTCTTCGAGAACTGCTCGCGAGTTCCTTCTGCGTTTCACCGATGCCAGAAGGCATCTGCGTAGTCTGCGAATCCATATCAGATTCCTATATGCCTTTATTGAGCATAGGTAAATTACACATACTGCGATACCGCGAAGCAAAATTTTTTTACAACACATTCAAAATTTTTCATCGTGCTTCGTATAAATCTCTTGGCTAGACAAAATGCTGTGTACAGATAGTCCGGAAATGAACACGAACTAGGAGTTTTTGACAGACGTTCAATGAAATCCAGCATACAATGACTAACTGCGCAAGCAACAAAAGTTATCCAGAAACTATGGGACTCTGCTACAGAGATGATAGAGATATCCTTGTTTCGGGTAGAGGACTATATGTCGCCGAAAGCGGTCCCCGCGGTCATTTGCGACAAATACGCACTCTTGTACATGTGCGGTCATGCGTTCCTGCAGGGAATCCGCGCGGGACTCTTCCAAATTCGGCGACATATAGTCCTCCACCCCTTGTTTCTTAAATTGCTCTCAAGTTTTTTTACATAGCAAATTCTCGAATGATTTGTCGGGACCCAGCCCGGCAACAGCTGCTAGCTGAGGGGCAGAGCCATCGCCTAAGGCTCAGTGAAGGTGGGAGCACCGGAGCCGACGGGCTCGCCCCACTTCCCCCTCCCCCCTCCCCTATGTATCACCCTTATTTAATTAATCTTAATAAATATTTATAATAACTCTAATGTACTTACCTCGCACCGCTACGCTCAGGCAAGGGTCCGTAAACCCCTTGAACCTGACATGGAGATCCCGGGGAGATAGGTCTAACGTTAGGCTAAATTTTTTTTTCTCCTCGAATATTTTTACCCATTCTTCTCGAACGTTTTGGGAATCAAAACGCATACCACCCCCTCCACACCCCACCCACCCACCTCCTTGTGCACAAAGGAAATCGAACGAACAATTTGTGAGTTTTTTCTTAGTACAATTAACCAAATGTGTATATATCGATTTCAAACAGTCCTGCGAGCGAGCCTACTTTAGCAGAAATTTTTAAAACCATTTCTTGGCCAAGATGTTTTTTTACGTATTTTGCACCGGGAATACACCGGGAAATGCCGTGAAAAGCCGTGAATAGCTATAATTTACCGCGGTTCACCGGAGTACCCGCGAAAAACCGTGATCTAGTCACCGGGTCCGGTACCATTGTGATTATATGTTGCGATCGCGCTAGGATTTTTGCATTTTACGTAGATTTTTTTGTTTTCTTTTGCAATACAAGGACTCGCTCGCGAATACCGGTACCCAAACCAATACTAGTACTAGAAAAAAATCCTTTCTTTCCACACACTAAGTATAGCCGGAAATTCCTTGGCTGGCACCAACTGTGGTGTCACACTAGCTAAGTCTTCTCGCTGATACACTGCGCAACACATGTGCGATAGCAATTAATATCCTCGGGAATTTACAAACATATGGCCGGTAGGATTAGCGTCCCAAAGGGGATTAGCAACTACCCGACTGACAAGAACATATGCTCGATAGGATTAACATTTGTATCTGTCACCTAGCTTACAATGCGCAACAGTTGACCGCGCACTAGGAGAATGTTACATTCTATAATCCAAATTAATGAGGGCCACATACGATAGTCCCTACGCCAAATTTACACCAACTAATATCTCTAAGAGCATTACAACTACACCCTGAATAGACACACGAACTTTATGGAGAAGTTTTTTTGTTTTCTGAATTTAGAAACACAAAATAACAATTTTATTCCATACAAGTAGAAAATAAATAACATCGACAACGGAAACTTGCACTTCAGTTCCTTCTGTTCCTGCCCGCTTTCTCGTCCAACTCTTCCTTTAATCCATCTCCTCCAACGATACCATTGAAGTAGACGTTGGATGTCGTTCCTCGCAATAGTGCACTTGTGAACCCAGGCGGCATCGGAATCTCATCGCCCAAGCTTTGCACGCTCAGGCTTCCGAAGTGCAACATAACGCTGATTTTGTCCCCCTTCCAGCCATCGCGCTCGGGGGAAAATTTGTAATGATAGTTCGAGCTAGTATGAAGGCTGCCTAAAAGAAAAAAAAAACAGATACCAAATAACACTTTCAGTTCAAAGGGTAAAATGAATAACTGAACTTACATTGCAACCTTTTTCCCAGGGTACGACGGTCATACACCTCCACCTCCATAATTGCTGTGAAGTCAGGTTGAATACGAACATAAGTTCGTTTCACCTCGCCTCTCACTAGATGTGAGAGGATCCTTTCCTCACAGAGCAATTGCTCCTCCAACATGGATACATCCCGCGTTCCCTCCAAGATGGGTATTAGTTTGCGGAGCGTGAACAGGTCTTCACTCATTTCCGTCACTTCCTTGAAAAAAATTTTGTTAACATTTCTAACGAACATTATTTTTTTTGAAATTAGTCTACTTACGTAAGTCAACTGTAATTTAAACACTTACCTTACATAGTTCCTTGTTCATCTTCCGGTCAGAAAGGGATTGTTTTTCGTGGTTCTCTTTTTCTCTCTTCATTTTGTAATCCAAAATCCCAATCTGCCGGGTTTTCTCGTTCAGCTGCCCATGTAGGTTATCGCAGGCAGCCCAGCCATGCTTAGAGGAACTTTGAAACTGGTCGAGCGTTTTTTGTTTTCCCTCCAGCTGCGACTGAGTTGCAGCTAGCTGTTTCTCTAACCTAGCGACCAGCGCCTCCAACGACGCGTTACGCTCTTTCAACTAAAAGAAACACATGAGTAACACTGTAAAACTTGAGTAAGACTTCAAAACAAATCCAAACTCTTACCTCTGTTTCCACATTTAAGGCAGCCGCAGATTCCTCGGGCTGCGGAGAGCTGTTTCTGGTGCCCACCTGGCTCCACTGTTGGCTTACCAAGCTCCATTCGGAGCCGGCTTCTGATCCATTGTTAACTTGTTGAGCAGACATCGGTAACTGGAAAGATGAAAATCAAGTATGAAATCGGAATTTTGAATAGGAGTGAGAGGAAAGATAAGGGCAAGCGTAGTATGTGGATGTCGAATTGACAGTGCCAGAACAATGCGCCGATGCTTGTACAATGTGTAAGCCTTAATCCTTACGGGGCCGTAGAGAACCAACCCACAGCTTCATCTAGAGATTTGGAGAGTACAGAGTACACAGAAAAAACTAGTGGATCTTGCAAGAATTTTGTATATTATCAATTTGTAAATATATAACAGCCACAAAATTACACTTCTGAAGCTACTGTGATCTTGGTGTATGGTCCCGCCCACTTCGGGAATTACAACCACCTGTCAACCCGCCTCCAGAAGCCACTTGTAAGCTCATTCAACTCTCAGTGGTCCAACCAGCCGGTTGGTCCCTCTCCTCTTCTACCTTCGCTCCACTGCCGCTCCAACCACATCTTGCCTTGCTGCATCTCAAAGAAGCTACCGTATCCGTCTGTCAACAACCAGCCAATTAACGACTACACTTGCAACGATAGGATAGAGGTGCGCTTTTCACGAAAATTGATCATTTTTTTTCTTCTTCTCTCTTCATTGCATCTCATAACAACTACAAAATACATCAACAATATAAATTTTTTATTTGAAAATACGAAACAAAATTCAAAAAAAATATATCTTCTTTCTCTGAGTTCTTTTCCTTCGTATGAGCAGTTCTGATACTGATCTCAGTTCAGTCACTTCAACACGCATTCGTAAAGTTGTTGTTCACTATATCACAACACCGTTAGCTCGTGTTCATAGTAGTTCAGATACTGATCTTAGTTCAGATAGCCCAAAGCACGTTCTCAAAGTTACTCCTCACGGTGCTATAAAACGTAGACCTCGTGCTCACTCTCGAATTTCGCATAAAAGAGTAAAACAAAATAAAGTCCAACTTTTGCCAGTTGATCACGCCTCTTCTGCTCCTTCATTGCTAAGTGATAGTTCTTCACCTGCTTCTATTTCATCCAGCTCACTTGTTTCTTCTTCTTCATCTTCTCAAAAAGGGAACTCTAACTCTGAATTAAATACTGTAGAATATAATACGGTAATATTAGATCCTAGTGCTGTAATAGTTCAACCTATATCAGTAGAAGATCAATCTAGTACTGTAGTAACACAGCCGAATACCTTTGAAAACCCTCTAGTACATTTATTTACTTTTGATCATCCTACAGATAATTTTCAAGAGCAAAGTAGGGTACCTGACCACCTTTTCGAAGTAAAACGAGAACTGGTCCCCGACCACGTAAATTCAAATTTTCAACAGTCTCTTGAGGAACAAATTGATATAGTAGAAAGTACTCAACTTAACACAGTAGTAGATACCCCATCACAATCTTTTATAGTACAGCGAAAACTGGTCCCCAATCACGAAACTCCAATTTTTCAAGAATCTTTTGTGCAACAAGTAAATACAGTAGTAGACCTACCAGTACACCCTTTTTTGCAATAAAACGAGAACTGGTCCCCGACCTCGAATTTATTGATTATCAAGAGTTTCATAGTGAACAAGTTAATACCGTTGTAGAGGCTCACAACCACTTTTCCTAATCAAACGAGAACTGGTCCCCGACCAAGTACCAGGAATTTTCTGTTGAATAAGTCAATAACGTTTGTGAAACACCAGGAAACCCTCTTTTGGCCGAACGAGAACTGGTCCCCGAGAACGAATTAGTAGATAATCAACAAATTCTTGCTGAACAAGTGAATTCGAGTGTAAAAACAGCACTTCACCAACCTCCACCAATACGAGAACCTGTCCCCAACGTAAAAGTTTTTTCTGCACCTATTATCAGTGAAAATTTAACTTTCGAAATGCAACAAAACCAAGTGATAGAACATTTGGATGCTATTTTTGATAAGCTGTGTTTATCTTCATATGCAACGAAACTTCCAACATTTTCCGGGGAACAAGGTGGCAGTGGTTTGATGAGTTTTTTGCAAAATTTCATAGAAATAAGTAAAATCATGGGACTGACAGCCCCTCGGATGGCTAGATTGTTACCTGCACACCTTAAAGGCACAGCAAAAGCTGTTTTCGATAACTTTACCGATGCACAGAAAGAAAATTGGGACACAATTGTTGCTGCTTTGCGTTCACATTTCGCTACTAGTCATTTCTTGGATACAGCGCGAGAAAAACTCATGGATTTAAGAATGAGGAATGGCGAATCACCAACTCTGTTTTCCAGTAGAGTAAGACGTAACGTATTGGAAGCTTATCCAGAGGCTAATGAGGAAGACACTAGGAAATTTCTCCGATCAGTAGTTTTGAAGAACGGAATTTCACCAAAAATCAAACAAAAGCTCAAACTATTGGGTCCGCTTCCCGCCGATTACGACGATTTGCTCAAAGAATCCGAACGTGTTTACGATTTGATCCAAACAGAAGAAAATTCTGTAGGAGATTCGCTGCTTATGGAGTAGACAAAATTCTCGATAACATGAGTTCAGCCCCCATCAATAGCATCTATAGAGGAAATTCCTATAGACCCCCATACAATAATCCACAGTTTCGAAGCAGATTTCGTACACCGAGAAATACCGGACGCTACAAATCTCCTTTCAATCCTAGACAAAAACGATTCAATTCAGATAGAAAACATGTTAGATTCAGCTCTAACACCCGAGAAAATTCTCGTGAACAATTTCGACGCCGTTCACCATCCTTTTCGCAAAGAGACAGATCGACATCTTTTTCGCAAAGGGACAGGTCTAGAACACCGCCCCGGAACTTTCAGAATAGGAACACAAATCAATCTCAAAGAGGTAGAAATGTAAATTTCATTTCTACTAGCAGTTCATCGAATATGAGGGGTATCCCTCACTCTCTTTTCCTAGTGACTTTGATTTGCATGTCAATTCCCTCTGTTTTGACACTTTCTCATACTTACCAAATATGTGCTGCAGGAAAATCTGGTTGGCCAGTAGCTTTCCCAGAAACTACCTCCTGCACACATTCTACAAACGTTTCTGAAATTTTGATAACAACTGCCGCTGTTTATGTAGAGAGAACAGAACCATACATGGCCAAAGCATTCCACTGTTTCAATAAAACCAGAAAAATTTGTGCCGTATTTGCATATCTCATTTTCCGTTAATAGCGATGAAGAATTTATGACATCAATTGATACTGATTTGTGTACAACTTTGGTAGATACGAAAAAATTCATGGGTCAGCCATTAAAAGTACTTTCTTAACACGTATTTGGGTCAGACAACAATATTCATTACCCTTATCCTTGGTTTTTTGGAGAAAAATGCACATTTACCTCGAATGTTTTTGTAGAATTTGGCGAAGTCGCTACCTATGATGGTGTTAAAGTAATTAGCCAATTTGGAGACACAGGAAAATGCTGGTATCGTGATTATCGTTGTTTACTTTCTCATGGTACTCTGGTTTGGGAAGCACAGCAAAAAACCGGTAAACCTTTTGCATGTAAGTACGAAAAAACCGTGGAAAGTGTCGCTTATGTGACTCCATCGCACATAGTTTTAGATAATATCCAAACTGCGTTGACATACAAAAATGTCACGTACACACAAACACAATTAGGTTTTTGGTGCTTACCGCACAAGGCTATCGCCATGGATAACGGCGTATTTGTCTATTTGCCAGAACTTCAAAATTTCAACCCACGCAAAAATTTTTCTGTTAGGCCGGATTTCGTGGACGATATTAATCGCAAACATTTTCGCGCCTCAAGAACATTGCAAATGCTGGACACGATACATCAAAACCGCCTCGAAACTCTTAAGAATCTTAAAGAGCAACACACTAGGCGGATGAAACGGGTAGCTCTTCTTCAGAATCAAAAGAAGGATCATAAAGAATTAACAGCGTTTCTGATACATGGCCAAAATCCTCCTTTGATCAAAACACCTGCAAACGATTCAGCAGCGGTAGCTCAGCATATCGCTGCCAATGTTGAACCCAATTTTTATCAAATTAATAAAGATTTTGAACTAACGCACGAGCAGAGACAAGATCAAGCACATTACGAATTAAATACTAAAATGCAGTTTCTCAAATTAAAACTTGAAGAGGTTATCAAGCATGATTTTCACTATCTTTTTGATCGTATATGTACATTAGCTAATTTTAAAAGTCAAGCAATCAAAAGCATAGCTCACATCAATCCAACAAGTGGCTCGTATTTTGCTCAATAGGAACGACATTTTCGCTGTCACAACCGGAGACGTACTTATGATTACTAAATGTAGAGAAGTTAAGGTTGACGAAATATACCTAGATCATAAAGTCAATGGAATTTGCTACATGTTAACACCTGTCCGAATCGGGGGCGATATCTATTATGTACAACCAGGCACACGTGATTTGACTCCAATTAGCCCTGAAGCAAATTGCGGACATCTTCCTTTTGGTATTTATGAAGATGGAACAAATAATTACCAATCACCGCGTGGTCCTGTAGATGTCGCTCGCATTCATACAAACCTTCCATATGCTCTGGCCAATCAGGACATTATTTTCAATTCACCACCCATCTTTCATTCGGATTTAGCACGGTTAACTACCGATGTTGACATGATTAAAAATCGTTTAAATTCTGAGCAAGTATATTCTTTACAGCCAGGTATACCTATTCAGCGAAATTCTTTTGGTGAAGATTTTGACAGAGAAGCAGTTAGTAATGTTCATTATATAGAATCGAAGGCTTCTGATATACTTTTGATGGGAGAACAGAAGGTTATTCAAGCACTAGGTTTACACACTTTAGTCAGAGTTATCGTCTATATAGTTATTTGCATCATAATCATGATATTCCTCATTATACTTTATTACCAGTTTTTCATTGTTCGAGTTATTCTTCATCTTTTGTGGAAAATTTTGCGTGATCTAGTATCCTTTATCATCAAAAATTGTAAAAGAAAAGAAAACAATAACAATGACTGTAACAGTGAACCTACTGCACCATCCCCCACACCACTTCCTCGGCAAATTTTGCAAGCAAGAAGAAGGAATCCTTTGGTTAAACATTCTAGCGCGAACGAATCTGTTGAAATAATAGTCCAGTATCCAGACTTTACAGAAATTCCTTTACAAAACACTTATTCTCCTCAGCCCATTAAAACGAAAACCACCAAAACTCCTGCACACATTAGTGTGCCAAGCATCTCTCTTATACAGCATGATTCATTATCAACAATTCACATTCCTACAAAAATCAATGATCGAGATGTGATTGCACTATTTGATACCGGATCGGCAATCACGATAGTTTCTGAACGTTTAGCAAAACTTTTGCGCAAAACCATTACTTTTCCATCCATAACCGAAGGAATAACTGCCAACGGTACACCTATCAGATTTTTGGGCGAAATATCACCTAAATTACAAGTAGGTGATAAAAGCGTACAAACAACTATGTTTGTAGTTAGAGATGATAATTGTGCAGCTGAATTTTTGATCGGAAACGATACTATCAAGAAACTTGGATCTAATATTTCAATAGATTATGCAAACAAAACTGTTTCTTTTGATAAAACTTCTGTTTGGTTTGTTATCCCGAATGACCCTGAGTCATCAAACCTTACTCTGCCTGTACATCTTTCCGCAGATACAACACTACTCCCACATACAGATAACGTTGTTCTTGGTTCATTGAATATTGCTTTTCCTAATACTTGGGAATTTTTCATTAGCGATGACCATATGATCACACTACCGCATGGCATAGCTGTAGGAAAAACGCTATCCTGCACCAAAAACAATGATCGAGTGTATTTGCGGATCCTGAATAACGCCCATAATTCGATATTTTTGCATAAGAACAGACAAATTGCAAGTGCTAATTATGTAGGAACTAATATGTACTGGCCTCCAATTTTTTCTGTCTATGCAAAAGAAAATTCTTCGGAGTATGTACCATCCTTACCAAGACAACCGGAGTATATACCTCCCGAAGCAGATTTGAACAAAAACATGCCATTTTTTCCGTCTGAAAGCAGTAGTGATCCGATACAAATCGTGTAAACATTGACGAATCATCGCTGACTAAACAAGAGCTACATCAGTTTCATACACTTTTAAATAAATATCAATCTTGTTTCGTAGGTTCTGACGGTAACTTAGGCCGTTACACAGGTCCTATTTGCCACAGAATCAATTTTGTGCCACATGCGAAAGTTCCGCAGCAGAAACCTTATCGCGTACCTTTGGAAAAGCGCAAAGAAATCCAGCGTCAAATACAGGAAATGTTACGCACGCGCATAATAGAACCTAGCACGAGTAAATTTGCCTCTCCAATCGTACTAGTCAAAAAAGGGTCTAACAAGGACCAATGGCGTTTCACGGTGGACTACAGACAAATAAATTCAATTACGGAAAACGAAACTTACTGTATACCACATATACAAGATATTATCGATCTTGTCAGCGGAAAAGAATTATATAGCGTTCTGGATTTTAAAAGCGGATTTTTTCAAATCCCTTTGGAACCAAAACATAAAGAACGCACAGCTTTTTCATCATTTCTAGGACTTTTTCAATTCACTGTAATGGCCCAAGGTCTCAAAGGAGCACCAGGCACATTTCAGAGGGTCGCTAACGCTTTAATTCGTGAATTAAAAGCCTGCTGTTTTGCCTATATCGACGACATTATAATTGCCAGTCACTCAGTACGTGAACACCTTCAAGATCTTGAAGAAGTATTTGTACGCATCCAAAATTTCGGCATAAAATTGACGAGTAAAAAATGCTCCTTTTTCAAGAAAGAAGTACAGTACCTAGGCATTTTGGTTAGCAAGAAAGGCACCCGTTTGAATCCCGAAAAAGTTACTAGTATCGTAGAAATATCTCAACCAACGGATGCCAAGGGTGTAAAATCATTTCTTGGTGCCGCATCATATTTTCGTCGTTTTATACCACGATTTTCCTTCATCGCCACCCCATTAAATAATCTTTTGCAAAAGGATGTTCCATTTACATGGACAGAAGAACATAACAAAGCATTCCTTTCGCTCAAAAATGCACTGGTTAATGCACCAGTTTTGGTTTCACCTGTCCTAGGTAGACCTTACCATGTTCATACTGATGTTTCCACCATCGGAGTAGGGGCTTGTCTGCTGCAAGAAAATCCAGAAACGGGAAATCAGCACCCCATAGCGTATTGTAGCCGCCCGCTTACGAAGCATGAGAAAAATTACGCCATTATAGAACTCGAGGCGTTAGCTATTGTTTTCGCTCTGAACCATTTTTACCCATACGTGGCGAACGCGAAAATCACATTAGTAACGGATCATGCACCGCTTAAGTCTTTAATGCATAGATCTGATTTAGTTGGGCGACTTGCTAAGTACCAAATCAGCATACAAGCGTTCGACCTCGAAATCGTATACCGTGCTGGAAAGCACAACACCTTGTGCGATTTTTTGAGTAGGTACCCTGTAGCGTGCACAAATGCCATACAAGTGAATAATATACCATCTTTGGAAGATATTCGACAGTCACAAATGCATTCTAGCTATCAGAAATTGATTGATTTTCTCAAAGGAGACACGGACAATTTATCAGATGAATTCTCTAAAACCTTGCATAATTATTCCATTTTCAACGATTGCCTTTATTTTACAGTAAAAGAAACACCACAACTAATTATTACTGATGAAGATATGCAAAAACGCATCATAGAATTTTTCCACAATAATCTTCTCATGACTTCCCATGCTGGCATGAGAAAAACTCAAAAAGCTATAGAAGCAAAATATTTTTGGTCTAACATGAGTACACAGATAGCCCAATTTATTCGAACTTGTCCTGTCTGCCAGAGAATCAAAACTCCTTCTGGCCAAATCATCCGCGAGGAATTGGGAGTTTTTCCAATACCTCAGCGACCATTTGAGCGCATGCATACTGACATCGTCGGACCACTTCCTCAGTGTATACATGGAAATAAATTTATTTCTATTACGGTATGTGCATTCAGTAAGCTCATAGTGTGTACTCCACTCCCAAATCAATTGACCGAAACTGTTGTAAAAGCGTTAGTAAATGACGTCATCTCCAAACACGGAATTCCTAATGAGATTGTTTCTGATAGAGGATCAAATTATACAAGTGAAATTTTTGCACAAATCAACGAAATTCTAGGAATCTCTAATGTTTTTACAACAAGCTACAATCATAAAGCAAACGGTCAAGTAGAGCGACTAGTCAAGGTCATCACTGACTCGCTCACTTCTTACTGTTCGGAAGCGCGAGACTACTGGTCTGACTTTCTCCAGCCTGTTGTTTTTGCTTACAACTCGAGCATAAACGACACGACTGGATACAGTCCATAAAATTAATTCAAATACATGAACAAATACTTGATACATAGGTTAAACAATCGACAATCTATCTTAAATTATATACATTGAGTATGGATCACTTGGTCGTCGTTGACGACACTCCCGGGGTGGCTAATGTTTCGTCCTGCGGCCATCTTTCAGAGCTCTTCTGGCATCAAGGATTCTTTGCTTCGCTCGTGCCTTCATGTCTGGTACGTTACAAAGGGCGCGATGGTGTGTGCTGCCGCGTGGGATGAGATCTTCGAAAATAGATCCCTTTAGACGCTTGCAGTACCAGCATTCTCTTCTGGCGTATAGGCACTCTTTTTGTGGTGGACAGTTCTCTAAGCAGTAGCGGCAAAGTTCCTTCCGTCGAATAATCTCCCATCTTTCGTCCCCCTCCACATATTTGGGGCAGGAGTCAGAGAAATGCTGACTTGTTGCATCACAGAAGGCGCACTTGATTCCTTTGACGCCATGGTTTACTTGTCCGATTTTCCGATGAGGGAAATCCTGCAACACTCTCTCCATTTCGATTATGTCTCTTTCAAGTCTGTCCTCCCAGGCCCTCGAGGTCTCTGGCCTGTCGGTCCTTTGGGCCTTAGCAGCAGGTTCCTGTGATATCCTGTGACGTTCTTTCTCTCGCTGTGCATCACTTGACAGCTTTTCTCCTGATCTGCCGATCCTTTGGTATTTAGCCGTGTGTTCCTGAGACTGACTGTGAAGTTCTTTCTCTCGCTGCCTTTCATCACTTGACAGCTTTTCCTCTGATTTCTCGGTCCTTTGGTATTTAGCCGTAGGTACTTGAGACGGGCTGTGACTTTCCCTTGATCTGTTCGCTTGCTCCAACTGTTGTTCGACTTGCTCCTTTTCCGCGCGGAGCTTTTCCATGTCTTTTTTCTGTCGCATTATCTCGCCTTCCAATCGATCAATCGCCTCTTGATGTTGACGTTGCTTCAGCGTCAGCTCCTCTGCGCGAGATTTTTCCGATCTCAGCTCAAGCCTCAATTCAGATAATCTTTTCTTCTTTCTTTCATTTTTGTCCAGAAGGGCGCTGACGTTATTTATCAGAGGAGCTGTGGCTGCTCGTTTGAGCTCAAGTTCATCCTGCAGCTTCGACACTTGAATTTTCAATTTTTCAATTGTAGAAATTTCTTGTTTTTGCCGGCTTCCTTCGTTTTCTACATGGTAATCTCTTTGTCTTTCGCTGCTATCCTCCTGGTCCATCAACTTTTCGATCGTAGAAAATGTTGTTTCCATCATATTTTCTTCTGATTTGTCATCTTCATAGTCATCATCCTTTGTTTTATCGTCATCGGCTTGATCGATTATTGCTATTTCCTCGGTTGGAGCCGTCCAATCCATTGCGTCATCATTTTGCTCTGGTCCTTTTTCTTTTCCTTGTTCCTTGTTCTCAGCTCGACTGCCGTCGGTTGTTTCTTCAACTTCAGCACTCCAGTCCATTTGCCTATCTTCGTATTGTTCTTGGATCTTCTCCTTTAGTGCTCTGTTTTCTCTTTCGAGTCGCTCCACTTGATCTGCCCAGTCGAGTTCTATTTCCTGGATGCGTTCCTTCAGTTGTTTACATTGAACTGCAAGCTTTGCTTCCTCGCTCTCATTCACTTGCCTCTCGACTTTGTTTAGATGATCTTCCATCATGCTTATGCTCGTTTTCGTGAAGCTCATTAGGCTTTGAACCATTTTGAGCACTGATTCTGCATTGACATCGTACTCTTGTTTCTTTCCTTTTTCCAGCCACTGGAATCGCCGCCCTCTCGGTATGAGATTAGCCTGTACTTGTCGGTCATAGATCCTATCCGTGAGGATGTACCATGTCCCGAGTCGTAGTATCTTTTCCTTGGTCTGCGTCGCGCTTCGTAGGCATCTGTTGGTCACCATAAGTTGTTCGTTTGTGGATGATTGCAAAAAATTTGCTTCGCCCATCAATGACGTCCATTGTGTTCTCTGCGTCGTCGCTACTTTCTTTTGATTGTGTAGCGATTTCAGGATGGCTTGGAGTTGGGGTTCCAGGAATTCCGCTTGTGGGCTTGCTATTCTCAGGATCGTCTTTAAGAATGTTGTTTCTCCGTCGAGTTCAGCGGCGCTGAGTCTATAACCAAGTCGTGTCAGTCAAGAGAAGGTTAGTCGATTGCAAAACTTCTTTCCTTTTTTTTTCATGTTTTTTTTTCATGTTTTTTTTTCTTTTTTTTCTTTTTTTTTTCGTTTCCAGTTGTCAAAGTTTTAGTTTTGTCGCGTTTTTTCTTCTGGACTTTGTCATAAGACTGCGCATGATAGCAAAGCATAACCTCCACGCTAGTTTGTAGAATGTTCGTATCGGTTTGGTCATCAGCTTTGCTAGAATGACGACGCATCTGAGTCCGCAAGTCGAAATTAGCGCATAGGTAATTCCTAACATAGCGATGAGTGTGATTCCTGCTATGAGTACCGTTTTATACCATTGGCTGAATACGTCAAATAGATGATAGAAGTCGGGCCACTGGATTTCCGCTGGAGCGCTTTTGCTGTTGCTCGTAAGCCACTTGTACAGCATTGTTTCGAAAGTTGCTGTATATTTGAGGATTCCTCCGACTTCAAACGTGGTAACCACCTCTCCGCATGAGACCGAACACTTCATGCGGACCATCGCTTGAGTAGGACTAATTCTCATGACTGACTCAATTCCCTGTTTGCCGCACGGAGCCGTGAAACTTGTTCCTTCACATATGATCTCTGCTTTGCTTGACCTAGAGGCGAAACACTTGATTTTTGCGTAGGCTCCCTTTTCGCAATTATAGCATCCTATCAATTGTGTGTTCTCCACCGTACATATGTCGTTGTCTACGACGAGGTTAGTGCGTAGATCTTCTTGAAGGGTTACGATTATTTCTGTCGAAAGCATATTCTGAACGATTGCCTTGACGCCATGGATTGATTCCTCAAATGTTATTGATGGTAAAATTACGGGCATTCGTCGTTGCAAATCCTCGAACTGCTTCAGTATCGGCACATTCAGGCAATTGCAATTGGCCTTCGTTTCGGCGGGATTACACGTACACTGCTCAAATATTTCACACCGTAGTGTTCTTGCCGCTTTACTTGTGGGACAGCGTAGAGCGGGCTTTAATTGATTATCCCAGAGAGCTGTGTTATTGCCATTCGATATGAATGAAGACTGGAGCAGAGGTATTGGAGCCATACTCACAGAGCTGAGTGTGAGAGAAAAGCTTTCCCATTGGACTGGTACGTTAGGGGGCATTAGAGCTGTGAACTCGTTTGTTTTCCCACTTTTGGCGTCGAAATGGGTGAAATCAATGGCCACTGTCTGTGCCCATCGATTACAGTGAAAGACCTCGAACACTGTCGAAGAGACAGGTTTCAGGTAAATCCGATAGAAGAGGCATCCGGAGCTCCAGTAAAAACAGTCACACCCCGGGCCGCCACAGGATTCAACGCAGTACGTGTTTCCTGGATACCCGTTCCCCATAGCGAGTTCGGGTATGAGACTGGTACTGTTTATTTGGGCGCATTTGCTTCCGACACACGACCCTACATGCGGACAACGCTTACTGTCTATGATCTTATAACTTGTGTCGCGAGTGAAATAGTCCGTGACCTTTTCGCAAGTGAGAAGTAAGTTCTTCCAGGAGGCCCGTATCTGGTGGATTGTTGTTTCATTGTGCATTAACTTGAAACAGGCTTCCCTTTTGAACGGATTCAACTTGAGCACTTCAGAAACTTGCACTTTACAGATTTGGCCTTTGTCATCATTTGTGCACAAGGTGGATGTGTGGCTGAATATGTTCACCATCTGGCATCCGTGCACAACCCCTACGTGCATACTCATCATCGTAAAAATGACCAACAAACTGGTCAGTTCGATCGATCTTCTCCTTCTTCTTCTATCATGACTTGGTTGGTCTGGTGTCCTTCTGCAGCACTTGATGAGATGACGTAATAGCAGATAGATGCTGTATATCAGCAGTCGTACAGGTTTGCCTATTACTAGAGGAACGTACAGTAGAGCGTAGCAACCCGTTGCTATCAAGTATAGAAGCACTGTAAGCGCTATTATCGCTCCAACCGGCCAGCATTCTGGATTGAAGATGAGTGAGGCACAGAAGAGACAATCCACCGATTCGCAAAATGGTGCTGATGGGCACATTGCTTCCATTATGTCTATAGCGTTATTGATGCTGAGTTTCCATTGCACCTTGTGCTCATGCAGCACTATACTAGGTGGGAACCTTACTGTTTCGTTGTAGTGTGGCGAGTCAAATGTCTTACAAAAGTCCTCAGCGCATACTTGATAAGGCACTTGTACTTCAGAAACGAGTTGTACTCCACCCGGGATGCATTTTATGAATCTGGTGATTTTCGCTACTTGGTCTCGTACTTTCTGTCCCCTCACTCCATCATTCGTGATTAGTAGTCCCAACATGGTGACAAGTAGTATTGATGTGTTCAAGATGTTCTCGGCGTAGTTTTTCTTACGATTTGGACGAAGGTTGTACGGATGCGTAGTTGTTTCCTTCGTAGTAGGTGTGATTTCACTACCACCCGCATCTGCTTCGTTTGTGTTTTCAGACTGGTACTCTTCTAGTTCCAGTGGTACGAGAAGGTTGACTGGCCTGCGAATTTTATGGCGTGAGGGTAGCATGACACCTGCCTCCCTTATGACCCCACACTGGTTTTTGACGAGCTCGATGATCCGTCCGAGCTTCCAAGTTTGACGTGGTTGCACTGGGTCTGCAATCAGCACCAAATCTCCATTTTGTGGTTCGTATGAGGATCCCCGTTTCTGTCCCACGTTTCTCTGATGCTTTTCCCGTAATGACGTTAGGTAATGAGTCTGCCATACTTGCCAAAATTTTTCTACAGCTTTGCAGGAGGATTGTAAGGCTTCTATTGTTTGCCTTTTTGTTCGTAGCAGGACCAGCTCTTCACTTGCTACATAACTTGGATCTTCTTCTTCTTCTCTGGAGAGATCCACAGGGTATTTCATCTGTATTTCGTTTTGTAAAAAGTCTATCGGCCGTAGGGCGACTTCATTTAGGCTATCTGTTTCCATATACAAAAGTGGTCTTGTGTTGAGTAAGGCTTCTATCTCTACGATCACCGTGGTCAGTTCGTCAATTGCCAGTGTCTGATTTCCTAGTGTTTTGTACAGCGAAAGTTTTACTGACTTGATCAAGCGTTCGTAAAAGCCCCCTTGCCATGGGGCATACGGTGTTATATGTTTCCAAACAATCTCTTTATCGCTGAGCTCCTTCATTATACTTGGATCGGTTTTAGCTGCTTCGTAGCTTTCCCTGAGTATCGTTTCCCCCAGAAGAAAGGTCGGCGCATTGTCTGACGTTATTGTCCGAGGTACTCCTCGGCGTCCGAAAAATCGCCGAAGCAGTAGTAAGAACGCTTTGGTTGAGAGATCTTGAGCTATGTCCAAGTGAATCAGTCTAGTTACCATACAGGTAATTATGCATCCGTAGCATTTTCCCTTGCTTCCTTCAGAAAGAATAATACTGAGTGGACCGAAGTAGTCCAGTCCGACATGTTCGAAAGGTTTTGCCCGTTGTACACGTTCTTTGGGAAGGTCACTTTGCTCCGGATACTTGAATGGCAAGTTGTTGAATTTCTGACAAGGAACACATCGACGGATGATTCGAGTTACTTGAGCTCGGAGTTTTGGTATCCAATAGTCTTGTCTTACGAGAGACATTGTGTGGTTAATGCTTGCGTGGCCTTTGTTATGGCTTTCTCTTATTATGGTTTCGGCTAACCATGTGTTTTGCAGGATGATCAGTGGCTGTTTTGCACTTCGGCTCATCTTGCTCCTATCTAGTCTTCCATAACAGCGAAGGAGGCCGTCTTCGTCTTTCTTGATGTTCAAATGACGCATTGATCGCCTCATTTCTTGAGTAATCAGTATCTGGTGCTGTCTGATTACCGCTTTAGCGGCTACAGCAATTTCTGCGCCATTTAATTCAATCCCGTCATACAATATGTCCGGTTTCAGCCAACTTGATAAGACTATTGGAAGAGTTCTTCTTTTGTTTACCCTCGTTACCAAACTTCTGACATATCGCAGCACATATGCTACAATGCGCCTTACTGTCACTAACGGATGCTTCTTCAGCTGGTCCAGAGGGATTGGAGTCGTTGCTTGTTGGACCTGTACACTCGCTGCTAATGTTACTTCATCCTCATCTTCACCCGATGTTTTCTGTTGGAATAGAGCAGTGTCTTTCCATTCCTTCGGATTTTCGCACAGAAATTGAAGCCCGGTCCACCAAAAATGGTTCAACAGTTCTGTTTTGGATAGACCTCGAGTGGCACAGTCTGCCGGATTTTCAGATGAGGAAACATGAGCAAACCATACTTGACACCCCATTTCCTCTATGTTTTTCACGATTCTCTCAATTTCCGTAAGTCTGCTGGTTATCATTCTTCCTACTCCTTTCTGCGGTTTCGATTTGATCCATTGGAGGGCGATTTCAGAGTCTGACAGCACTACTGTTTGCTCTATTTTGACGACGGATTGTAGTTGTGTGATTGCTGCATTTGCAATTCGCATGGCCAGAGTAACTGCATTGAGTTCCATCTTCGGCATCGTAACCGTGGACTTGAGAGACGGTAACTTGCCTTTTGCAAAAAGCAAGTTTGCTTGATCTTTAGAGCGCAAGTAGACACATGCAGCGATTGCTTCTGAGCTTGCATCAGCGAAAGCAATTATGTCATGCTCTGTCTCTTTTGAGCATAAACATCGAGGAATTGATTTTTCAAATCCGTCGGCTTCTTTGATGATTTGTTCCCAGTCTTGCGCAAGTTTTTCGGGCAAAATAACATCCCAGTCAAAATTTTGCTGCCATAGGGAGCGAAGAAAGACCTTGGCTCTGTGGAGCAAGGGTGTCATATAACCCATTGGGTCATAGACGGAGGCTATGGTACTTGCAACACTACGTTTTGTAGTGTTAGTGCTGTTTTTCATCCGACATCTGATCTCTAGTGCGTCTTCAATTGAATTCCATTTTATTCCTAGCACTTTTGGTGATAGTTCCAAGGACTTGTCTTCGAGGGCTATTACTTGCATTGTTTCCTTATTGTTAGAAACGAACTCCCGGAGGTTCATGTTAAGATCTTGGAACATCCTTTTAGTGGTGCGGTACAACTCGACCGCCTCTTCCTTCTGATCTGTGGATAAAATGAGATTGTCCACGTACAAGTTTTCTTTCATTTCCTTCACTAGCTTGCTGTTTTTGTATTGATCGAGATGGTAATGTGTCGTAGCTGCCAAGAGGAAAGGAGATGGCATAAGTCCAAAAGTAACTCGAGTGAACCGCAGAATTCGGATATTACTTGGGCTAGGTGCTTGTTTGTGGTTCCTCAACCAAAGGCACCGAGTGGCATCGCGATCTTCTTCGTGAAGTCGCACTTGAAGAAATGCCTTTTCCACATCCGATATCAATGCGATGTGTCCTACTCGGAATCTCAGGAGAATTCCGTATAGGAGCGGTAAAATTACCGGCCCTCGATGTAGGACATCATTCAGTGAAGGAGATCCCCTGTAATGGGCTGATGCATCGTAAACGATGCGTAGCTTCGTCGTTGACTTGTGTGGTGTTATCACCGCCTGGTGCGGAATATAATGAATTCGTGTACCAGGTAGTGATTTTTCATTTACCTCCTCCAATATATTCAGACGAAGCTGCTCTTGGAAAACTTCATTATACTGGTCCAGCAGGTTTTCGTCTTTCTGCAGCGAATTCCATAAACTTGTCAGTCTTCTATGTGCGATGGCCTTGTTATCCGGTAACTCTATTTGAAGGTCTTTCCATGGCAATCGCACATAGTAACCGTCTTGCCGCTTTTCCACTGTCCTTTTGAAGTTCTCCCACACTTGCTGGTCAACGATCGCCTGTTGTTCTTTTTCAGCCCTTCCAAATTCTTCTGTTCCGGCAGCATCCATTTTCCAGAAACTTTCCCAAAGTTCTTGTTCACTTTCTTTCTCCTCTGTCACTGCCTCTATTGTGTTGACTTGTGCTTGTAGACTCCAGTAGCCATTCCACCTTTCTTCTTCTTGCTCCAGTCTTTCACCTATCGTTGGTGTCCTTTTTGCTTGACCTGTGAAAAGGTATCCCATCCTGGTGGATAGCAAATAGAGCCCAGAAGGAAGACGGATGTGGCTTGTGTTCGGTCGTACAAGTGACCACAGCTGGTCAGCTCCCAGAAGAATCTCTGGTTTTACGGGCTTTTTAGACTCATTGACATGTAGACCTTGTTGTTTGATAAACTGAATGTCTCTATCTTGGAGTTCGGGTGATGTGAATGCTTTTGTGAGGATGTCATGAGTGAGCAGGCTCAATAAGCATTGCTGACCTTCCTCATCCCAAGCTTTCAACATCACTTTTCGACAGTCCTTCATAGATACTTGATTCGAACCAAAAGTGTGTAAGTGGAGTTTGGCCTTCCCCATCGTTGGGAGTTGTAATTCCTCAGCGAGTGCTCCATCTATGAATGAGATTTCTGCTCCTGTATCTAGTAGTACTGCAACCTTTCTCAAGGAGTTGCTCTTCGGATCGAGAACTGTTAACTCCCCTGTAGGAAGGAAGGTTTCTTCCAAAGGTTGAGGTATTGAATGAACTTGCAGTATGGCGGTCTCTCTAGTTTCCGCTTCCTCGGAGGTCACATGGTTCACTCGTTGAGGTCTTGCTCTTTTCGGTTCTTCTTTCAGTCGCTTCTTATTTGGACCTGCCTTTTCTGGCTGATTTGTAGCGTTATTGGTTAGCTTGAAGCAGCATGATGTGTGGTGTGCACCTTGACACTTAAAGCAGTTACGCTTTTTGCATTGTGAAGTTTGGTGTTGTGCTGACGCACAGATGAGACAAAGCCCGTGCTCTCTCAGGTATTTCGATCTTTCTTGTGGGTTTTTATACCTGTTGCAATCCATAGCTTTATGGTCTTCCCCACAATACATGCACCTGTTTGGCCGCATTGGGAGATCCTTTTTGACGAAGGGTGGTTTGATGCTCTGTTCTTTCCCGGTTCTTTCCAAATAGAGCATCACCATTTCTTCGTTTGAAATTGTTTCCTCCAAGAACTCCAACAGTTTGTTCATAGAAAATGAGTCTTCCGCCAGGGAAGTGCTTCTTTTCAGTAGCACTTTTCTCTGAACAGACGCTGGAAACTTGGAGAGAATTTTTCTGATGCACCACTGGCTATCCACTTGTTCTCCTTTGTGAGCTAGCTGGGCAATTACCACTTGCAGTTCTTCAAAGAGAGAACGTTGGTCCTTTATCGAAGGTGATTTCAGTGATGCTTTTTCAAGCTTATGAAGTAATCGTGCAATCAGTTCTTGCGTATTTCCATACTTGTGCTGGAGGAACTTGATTGCTTTCGAATAGTTCTCTGGTGTTACTTGAAACTTTTCGATTGCCTGGTAGGCCTCGCCGCGAAGTGCATTCTTCAGATAATTGAATTTGTAAAGGTCGGGGATCTGCTGCGAATGGACATTGGTGTTGAAGAGTTCCCAAAAGTTGTCCCATTCCCATATATTCCCTCGGAATATTGGAATGGGCAATGCTGGGAGCTCGCTTCCCAACCTTGGTTGTACCGGGGTAGTTCCTTCCGCAGCTTCCAGTGTCGTGTTACTTGCTTCCCCTGCACGAGACGTGCATACCGTGTATGCCTGTCTGCGTGACTGTAAGAGTACTAAGTAGTCAAATGCGGAGGCAAGAGTTTCTTCCGCCTTTGCGGAATACTCCTCGAAGCTGGTTACTTCTTGTTCGTCCAAGTCTTGCAAGCTTGAGACATCTGTGGCATAGTCCATCAAGAGTTTTTCAATTTTCTCCGTAAACGCTGTTATTGCACCTATTCCTTCGTTGAGTTGTCGTAAGCTGTCCCTAAGTACTTCGCCTTCTTGTGAAGTTGCCGTGCGCGTTTCCAACCTTTCATTCTTAAGATGTGTGATGACTGCTTCCAATTTCTTCGTGTAGCGTGTGAGTAAGCGCTTAGATGTACCTAGTCGCATCGCCATTTTCTTAATAACGGTTCAAAACTTGCAACCGAAAATTACAGTTTGGTTCAAAACTTGCAACCAAATTTGATGACGTATCAGAAGAGTAGTCAAGTATGTCAGTACAGTGAAATCGTTAGACTGACCTGAGTTCGTCGTCTGCCCGATGCACCATGTAGAAAAGAGTTTTCTTTTTCTTCGCCTAGACTAGGACTTGTGCTTTACTTGCTCGTTGCCACGCGGGACTATAAGCTGTGGTTGGAAACGGGCTCACAAATAGGTTTATTGTTCAATTCTTTACATACAGTCTTCTTTCTTCCTGCTCACACTCCGAAGTTCTTCCTTCTTCGAAAGACTTGAGCTTGGACTTGATCTTGAGCTTGAGCTTGAGCTTGAGGTCCTTGAGGAACTTGAGGAAGCATGATCTTACGGCAGTGTGAGCTCTATTTATACAAATGAATATCAGATAAAAGTTGAATCTCAAAATATATTTCAAGCGAATAGAAACATAGATGATATGATAAACGTTACAAAAGCAAAACAACGCATACTTGAGAAATGTACGATTTCAAAGAACAAAATTAATTCAAATACATGAACAAATACTTGATACATAGGTTAAACAATCGACAATCTATCTTAAATTATATACATTGAGTATGGATCACTTGGTCGTCGTTGACGACACTCCCGGGGTGGCTAATGTTTCGTCCTGCGGCCATCTTTCAGAGCTCTTCTGGCATCAAGGATTCTTTGCTTCGCTCGTGCCTTCATGTCTGGTACGTTACAAAGGGCGCGATGGTGTGTGCTGCCGCGTGGGATGAGATCTTCGAAAATAGATCCCTTTAGACGCTTGCAGTACCAGCATTCTCTTCTGGCGTACAGGCACTCTTTTTGTGGTGGACAGTTCTCTAAGCAGTAGCGGCAAAGTTCCTTCCGTCGAATAATCTCCCATCTTTCGTCCCCCTCCACATATTTGGGGCAGGAGTCAGAGAAATGCTGACTTGTTGCATCACAGAAGGCGCACTTGATTCCTTTGACGCCATGGTTTACTTGTCCGATTTTCCGATGAGGGAAATCCTGCAACACTCTCTCCATTTCGATTATGTCTCTTTCAAGTCTGTCCTCCCAGGCCCTCGAGGTCTCTGGCCTGTCGGTCCTTTGGGCCTTAGCAGCAGGTTCCTGTGATATCCTGTGACGTTCTTTCTCTCGCTGTGCATCACTTGACAGCTTTTCTCCTGATCTGCCGATCCTTTGGTATTTAGCCGTGTGTTCCTGAGACTGACTGTGAAGTTCTTTCTCTCGCTGCCTTTCATCACTTGACAGCTTTTCCTCTGATTTCTCGGTCCTTTGGTATTTAGCCGTAGGTACTTGAGACGGGCTGTGACTTTCCCTTGATCTGTTCGCTTGCTCCAACTGTTGTTCGACTTGCTCCTTTTCCGCGCGGAGCTTTTCCATGTCTTTTTTCTGTCGCATTATCTCGCCTTCCAATCGATCAATCGCCTCTTGATGTTGACGTTGCTTCAGCGTCAGCTCCTCTGCGCGAGATTTTTCCGATCTCAGCTCAAGCCTCAATTCAGATAATCTTTTCTTCTTTCTTTCATTTTTGTCCAGAAGGGCGCTGACGTTATTTATCAGAGGAGCTGTGGCTGCTCGTTTGAGCTCAAGTTCATCCTGCAGCTTCGACACTTGAATTTTCAATTTTTCAATTGTAGAAATTTCTTGTTTTTGCCGGCTTCCTTCGTTTTCTACATGGTAATCTCTTTGTCTTTCGCTGCTATCCTCCTGGTCCATCAACTTTTCGATCGTAGAAAATGTTGTTTCCATCATATTTTCTTCTGATTTGTCATCTTCATAGTCATCATCCTTTGTTTTATCGTCATCGGCTTGATCGATTATTGCTATTTCCTCGGTTGGAGCCGTCCAATCCATTGCGTCATCATTTTGCTCTGGTCCTTTTTCTTTTCCTTGTTCCTTGTTCTCAGCTCGACTGCCGTCGGTTGTTTCTTCAACTTCAGCACTCCAGTCCATTTGCCTATCTTCGTATTGTTCTTGGATCTTCTCCTTTAGTGCTCTGTTTTCTCTTTCGAGTCGCTCCACTTGATCTGCCCAGTCGAGTTCTATTTCCTGGATGCGTTCCTTCAGTTGTTTACATTGAACTGCAAGCTTTGCTTCCTCGCTCTCATTCACTTGCCTCTCGACTTTGTTTAGATGATCTTCCATCATGCTTATGCTCGTTTTCGTGAAGCTCATTAGGCTTTGAACCATTTTGAGCACTGATTCTGCATTGACATCGTACTCTTGTTTCTTTCCTTTTTCCAGCCACTGGAATCGCCGCCCTCTCGGTATGAGATTAGCCTGTACTTGTCGGTCATAGATCCTATCCGTGAGGATGTACCATGTCCCGAGTCGTAGTATCTTTTCCTTGGTCTGCGTCGCGCTTCGTAGGCATCTGTTGGTCACCATAAGTTGTTCGTTTGTGGATGATTGCAAAAAATTTGCTTCGCCCATCAATGACGTCCATTGTGTTCTCTGCGTCGTCGCTACTTTCTTTTGATTGTGTAGCGATTTCAGGATGGCTTGGAGTTGGGGTTCCAGGAATTCCGCTTGTGGGCTTGCTATTCTCAGGATCGTCTTTAAGAATGTTGTTTCTCCGTCGAGTTCAGCGGCGCTGAGTCTATAACCAAGTCGTGTCAGTCAAGAGAAGGTTAGTCGATTGCAAAACTTCTTTCCTTTTTTTTTCATGTTTTTTTTTCATGTTTTTTTTTCTTTTTTTTCTTTTTTTTTTCGTTTCCAGTTGTCAAAGTTTTAGTTTTGTCGCGTTTTTTCTTCTGGACTTTGTCATAAGACTGCGCATGATAGCAAAGCATAACCTCCACGCTAGTTTGTAGAATGTTCGTATCGGTTTGGTCATCAGCTTTGCTAGAATGACGACGCATCTGAGTCCGCAAGTCGAAATTAGCGCATAGGTAATTCCTAACATAGCGATGAGTGTGATTCCTGCTATGAGTACCGTTTTATACCATTGGCTGAATACGTCAAATAGATGATAGAAGTCGGGCCACTGGATTTCCGCTGGAGCGCTTTTGCTGTTGCTCGTAAGCCACTTGTACAGCATTGTTTCGAAAGTTGCTGTATATTTGAGGATTCCTCCGACTTCAAACGTGGTAACCACCTCTCCGCATGAGACCGAACACTTCATGCGGACCATCGCTTGAGTAGGACTAATTCTCATGACTGACTCAATTCCCTGTTTGCCGCACGGAGCCGTGAAACTTGTTCCTTCACATATGATCTCTGCTTTGCTTGACCTAGAGGCGAAACACTTGATTTTTGCGTAGGCTCCCTTTTCGCAATTATAGCATCCTATCAATTGTGTGTTCTCCACCGTACATATGTCGTTGTCTACGACGAGGTTAGTGCGTAGATCTTCTTGAAGGGTTACGATTATTTCTGTCGAAAGCATATTCTGAACGATTGCCTTGACGCCATGGATTGATTCCTCAAATGTTATTGATGGTAAAATTACGGGCATTCGTCGTTGCAAATCCTCGAACTGCTTCAGTATCGGCACATTCAGGCAATTGCAATTGGCCTTCGTTTCGGCGGGATTACACGTACACTGCTCAAATATTTCACACCGTAGTGTTCTTGCCGCTTTACTTGTGGGACAGCGTAGAGCGGGCTTTAATTGATTATCCCAGAGAGCTGTGTTATTGCCATTCGATATGAATGAAGACTGGAGCAGAGGTATTGGAGCCATACTCACAGAGCTGAGTGTGAGAGAAAAGCTTTCCCATTGGACTGGTACGTTAGGGGGCATTAGAGCTGTGAACTCGTTTGTTTTCCCACTTTTGGCGTCGAAATGGGTGAAATCAATGGCCACTGTCTGTGCCCATCGATTACAGTGAAAGACCTCGAGCACTGTCGAAGAGACAGGTTTCAGGTAAATCCGATAGAAGAGGCATCCGGAGCTCCAGTAAAAACAGTCACACCCCGGGCCGCCACAGGATTCAACGCAGTACGTGTTTCCTGGATACCCGTTCCCCATAGCGAGTTCGGGTATGAGACTGGTACTGTTTATTTGGGCGCATTTGCTTCCGACACACGACCCTACATGCGGACAACGCTTACTGTCTATGATCTCATAACTTGTGTCGCGAGTGAAATAGTCCGTGACCTTTTCGCAAGTGAGAAGTAAGTTCTTCCAGGAGGCCCGTATCTGGTGGATTGTTGTTTCATTGTGCATTAACTTGAAACAGGCTTCCCTTTTGAACGGATTCAACTTGAGCACTTCAGAAACTTGCACTTTACAGATTTGGCCTTTGTCATCATTTGTGCACAAGGTGGATGTGTGGCTGAATATGTTCACCATCTGGCATCCGTGCACAACCCCTACGTGCATACTCATCATCGTAAAAATGACCAACAAACTGGTCAGTTCGATCGATCTTCTCCTTCTTCTTCTATCATGACTTGGTTGGTCTGGTGTCCTTCTGCAGCACTTGATGAGATGACGTAATAGCAGGTAGATGCTGTATATCAGCAGTCGTACAGGTTTGCCTATTACTAGAGGAACGTACAGTAGAGCGTAGCAACCCGTTGCTATCAAGTATAGAAGCACTGTAAGCGCTATTATCGCTCCAACCGGCCAGCATTCTGGATTGAAGATGAGTGAGGCACAGAAGAGACAATCCACCGATTCGCAAAATGGTGCTGATGGGCACATTGCTTCCATTATGTCTATAGCGTTATTGATGCTGAGTTTCCATTGCACCTTGTGCTCATGCAGCACTATACTAGGTGGGAACCTTACTGTTTCGTT